TTCTCTGGATGTCCCTTTTCGACAGAAAGCCGAACGGGGCCGGGTGACCGTTCGACTGCCCCAATCACGCGCAGAAGGCACACTGCCATCTAAGCCGCAGCCACCGCCCAGTGCACCAGAGGACCGGTGGAGACGGTCAAAATGCCGGACGTATTTTGAGCTCCAGAGTCGCTAAATAGGACACGAATCGAACGTGTGACCCCACCAATGGATTGCTCTCCGAACGAGGAATCTATTGGTAGGTGGGGTCACACGTTCCGTTCGGGTCCTCTTGAGCTACACTTGAGCTCCAAATCCGTCTAGAATTTTGGCAGCCTACTGTGCAACGCTGACAAACTTTTTGTCCCACGTTAGTGCCTGCCTGTCCCACCCCTTGGAAATGCAGGTGGCTGTAACTCGGGACTGGCGTAATAGGTATTTCCATACAGGCCGATAGGTTAGGTTAGGTTAGGTTACGTAGCCCTTCCCAAATGACCCCCCCCGTGTTGATGGCTCTGTCAACCAGCGCGGCGCCCTGAATGTAGCGGCATCGCGTTGATTGGCAGCCGTCTCGCCACTGCTAATGGATGGCGTGGAAGTCCCACCCTTCGCCTCATCGATACGAATGGGCTGGTTCATGAAGTCCCAAAAAACCATGGGTCGCATGGGATCCCATGAGTCATATTCCATGGGACTTAACTGAAATCCCATGAGAACGCGGGTCAGCACCATGGGTAAGTGGCCTCCCATTGAAAATTGAGGTGATTTCCCATGGCGCGGGATGAACACCATGGGAGGGCCTCTCCATGGTGTGAACTTTCTCATGGCGTCGCTATTCCCATGGGATGGAATTTCTGCCCGTGCGTTGAAGTCTCCGTCTAATTTTTACGTTTAGGTAATATCATGTCAACGGTGACTTGTAGACAAAATCTAGTTGCAAAATCGGTTGTATCGTGAAAAGTTCACCTTGAGCGGACATTAATGTGGGTGATGACCCTCGCAGACGGAGGCTCTTCATACAATGATCTTTCTAGACACTCTGTCATGGCAAGGAAGTGCTCCCATGGGACACACCATGGGGCATCTCCCCATGGGTTACTCAACACCATGGGAAATGGTGCAAAAAATCAATGGGATATCTTCCCCATGGGAAAAATCGACCCATGGTGTCCCATGGCGTCCCATGACTCATGGGATGCTCCATGGGTTTTTGGGACTGGGCATTTTTCTGATCAAGGTCGAAACCATCCTGATCTTCGTGATCGCGCTTTCGGTGGTGTTGGTTGAGAGTCCGACCGTGGCGGTCGAAAGTTCTTCCAAGGTCCAAGACGCAGCACATCGACGGCGTCCCTCCTTCGACCACTAACTGGGAACTTGAAGCTCCTTCCACCAAATCCCGGCCCACCGACTGAACTGCCTTTTCCGCGCATTGCGCCCGTCCTCCTGTAGGCGGTGTCAGTGACAGACCGGACACTACCAGTGTGGGGGCGGAGTAAACTGGAACGGAGCTAACACCACACTGTCACGTGGCGTTCTACCGGTACTTCTTACCGCAGCTGTCCAGGGTTGTCCAGCTGTCCGTGGCCCCGCCTGTGATATGCAGTGCCGTTCGCGGTCGACCGCCGAGCCTCTTGGCAGCTGGCTGCCGCAGAGACCGCAGGCACTGCACTGTCAAATCAGGTGTGGAGAACTCCACACTACCCAGAGCAGAGCGAGATTATGACTCTCCACACCTTCGAGAGGTAAGTTAAAGACCCATGCCGGCGTGAAACCAAACGTGGATAACTCCAATCTTGTGATGCGGAGGTGTGGAACTTTCGGTCTCCGCACTTGGGAGTGCAGAGTTTGCTGTCTCCACACTCGAAGTGTAGAGTTGTCCACGTTTGCACCATGCAAAGAGATGGGAGCTCTGTGAGCTACTTCACTTTTGAAGTGTAGATGCTGCTAACTCTGCCTTTCCAAGTGTGGAGACTTACGCAACACCAGGTAGTGTGGAGTTCTCCGTGTTTAGTTTCACAGTGGGAGTACACTCCAAACACGCAGCGTGGCACTACCGCGCTGCAGTGGACTGGGCGCACTCCGCAGCGGCCCGCGGCCCACGCCGGCCCATGCCGGCCAAGGGCTCCGAGGGCTCCGAGCTCAGAGGGCCCTCCACCCCGGCTAATTCCCCTCCACTCTGACCGATTCTGACGAGCCGGCCTCTGTGAGTGAATGGGGCTGTTGTCGGCGGCTAATTCTCACGGCAACTACACTGACTGCTGCGTGCGCGCGGCTGGCGTGGCTGGCGTGGCTGGCGCGGCAACAGTGCTCTCCAGCCCCCCCCTCCCTTCCCTTTTGTTTGCTGGCTGCTTGGTTGCTCGACTCCACAACATCTTGCTCTTCGTCTGGCAGTGTAATTCGGATGACCTCCGCCAGGGCCAGGGGGTGTGCCGGCCCGCGCGCTGTGGTTCTCGCTCGGCGCGGGAGGAGGGAGGGGGAGCAGCGGTCACTATCCCCTAAAGCTGGGCTACTTCACACCACCATACATATATATGCTAATGTTCCTCCCGCCCGGATTTGCATCCTCCGGCCGAGACCGGCCTAGGCCGCGCGCCCCGCTCCACCACACCGCACCACACCCCACCCCGCCTCACCCCGTCCCGCCCCGGCCCGCCCCGGCCTGGCGGCGGGTTGGGCCCGTTGGGCTGGCCAGCAACACGTAACCCAGCCGCAGCGTCCCAGTCGTATTGCGGTCCACGGAATGGCTCCACGGCGAATTGAATTTTCAAAATTTGAACGGGGTGCCTCGGTTTGAGCGGCCGGCCGTGTTGCGATGCCTCGCCGGGCCGTGGTGTGTGCCTGTGTGTGTGTGCGTGTGTGTGTGTGTGTGTGTGGCGTGGCCAGCAAAGTTTATTGAAGCCTGTTTGATCTCCATCAGATAGCATGCGAGAGCGCGCGATCCGGAGCCAGACACACAGGTGTCGTCCTGCACGCTTTGTGTGGCGTGCATCTGTGTGTGTGTGCTGTGTGTGGCGTGCGTGTGTGTGAGAGAGATCGTGCCCCTGTTGGTCCCCTGTTAGTCTGGCGCAACAAAAGCCGTGTTGGTGTTCCTCTCACGGTACGGCGGCTGCTCTATCTTCGCCTTCCGCTCCTTACGTCCATTCCTTTTTATCAGCCCCCCCCCCTCTTTTCCCTCTCCTCCCCCTCCCTGCACGGTAGCGTATTACCTTGGTGCTATTATTCCAATTGCCGATATCCCCTCGCCCCCCTCCCCCTCGAGAATTGTTGAAGGCGTGCCATTTCGCGCCATTGGCTACTTCTTAAATCTCCCGCCGCAGCGCTGAATAGGCGCGCCCTGCGGGTTCATTCCGAGAGGCGACGGACTGTCTCTCTCGCGTCCACGCGGGCCGCTCCACGAGTGCGAGAGAGAGAGGAGCCGCCCCACTCGGAATCGGTCCGCAGTGTATATATACACACCCGGGGCGCCTTGCCGCCTCGGGCCCGCCGCAACCACCGCGGAAGGGGCTGCTGATTTTTCGCTGGGGTGAACCGGGGTGGGGGAGGGGGAGGAGGGGGCTGGCCGGGCGCACCACCTGCGGGGGCTTTTATCTCGCTGGCAGTTTGCCTGCCCAGCTCGCGGCCCACAATGTACGGGGCGCCTCCTTCGGAACGCGCAGGCCGCGTGGCCGCAACAACAACACAATGACGACGACGATAACAAAAACAACAACAACAGAATGATGACGACGACAACAGCAACAAAAACAGAATGATGACGACGACAACAACAACAACAATGCATTGCTCTTCGAACGGGGAATCCATTGGTGGGGTCACACGTTCGTTTCGAATCCTATTTAGCGACTCTGGAGCTCAAAACGCATCCAGAATTTTTGCCGCCTCTACTGGTTTTCTGGCCCACTGTGGATTGGCCCTGGGCTACGGATGCACCAGCACCCGGTGTGTCGTGCCGGCGGCCCCCCTTGTTATGCCGAAGTACAGCCCAACTCGCGACGTTCTCTTTGCAATTCGCAATGCGCTCCACGGGGCCGCCCTGCCGGGGTTTGCCTTTCGGCGCTTTCGGGGTTGTTTCTCTTTTCTTTTTGCTTTGACCGGCTTTGACGACCCTTTTTTGTGCGGCACAGTTTTTCTATTGTCGCAGACACACAGACAACCAGACGCACACAAGCGTGCAAACCTACGCTAAACTCACCTTCTCTCCTGCTAGCGCCTGCTACACCGTTCGGAGTAGGGCGTAACTCGTTCACACCCCGTTAGGGCATCGTCCTTATACCTTTGTTTTACCATTTCGAGTGCACCAGGTTTGGAAGGGCGGAGAGGTGGGCGCACTGGCGCCGCTCCTTATGGCCGCCGGAGAGCCAGGTGGACCAAAGCAGCGCAAAGCGTAGCAAAGCCCACTGTTGCGACTGCGATGAAAAGTTGACCAAGCCAGCCAGGCAGTCCGGCCCGATGGGCACCGTCGACGGCGTGGTGTTGCAGTGGCGTGGCCGCCACGCCGCCATGCAGTGTGCCGCCGCTCCCTCCACCCGAGACGATTCAATCGACGGCCGGTTTCGTTTTTCCTCGTTTCCTTTTGTTTGGTTCTTTTTTCTCCCGACCCCAGCGTCCCGCGCCAAGCCGCATCTCCCCCGCCTCCCCCGGAACAACGCGCATCAACGAATAAAGGTGATTGATAGCAGTGGTGTGGCGGGGCGGGGTGGGGCGTTATGGTGGCGTGGCGGGTTGGGGCGGGGCGGGGCGTTCTGTTGGCGGCCCCGCTCTGTCCAAGTTGCGTCGTGTGGACGCGCCATGTAATCGCATCCTGCTGCTGGTGCTGTAGCCCCTGGCCTGCCCAAGGCGGTAGAGGCTCTCTGATGTCCTCCTTCCTGACTTGCTTGTCCACGTCGCGGCGCCCCGCGGTCGTGCCCTCACTGTGAAGACACCGAGTGTCGAGTCCTGCAATCTCTCTCTACACGTCCAAGCTAGTGTGGCTGTGTGTGCCGCGCCACTGTTCTAACGCTGTTTCTCCCTCTCTGTTGCAGGCGTCTTCAAGTTCATCAAGTACCTCAATCGTGAGTATGCTCGCGGCGGCCCCGCGGCCCGACTCCGAGGCGGTTTGCCTGCTACACTGTAACCCTAATTGCGCCTGGCGGTGCGCTCAGTCGCCGGCCTGGAAATTGTGTTTCGGCAGTTTGATTGCATTTAAGATTAAGTCGTTAGAGTGCCCCGCTGTGCCATGTCAGTGGCGTGGCGAGGCGTGGCGTGGCGTGCCGAGGCCCCGCACTCCCCCCGCCGCGTCCGGATCTGGCGGAGATGTTCGCCTTACCGGTTCCGGCCTCCTGGTCTCCGGTTTCCGGAATCCGGCCTTGAGTCGCCGAGCGGACGCCGCGCGGCTCATCGCGCTAAGTGGGATTTGGCGCGGAGGGAGGGGTGGGGGAGAGGGGCACAGGCCAATTTTTTAAAGAAAAATGAAACGAGTTGGGGTTGTTAGCGAGGGGTGACCCACTGTAAAATTTTGTGTACAATGATTGTGTGAATGTGCAAGAATGTGCAAGATTTCTGGAGTTTTTGCCACACATGTTGCCTACTTACAGGCGTTTTTGGCGCCTGAATGTGGAATGTGGTCAAATTTTGTACAATGAATGTGGGAAGCTGTTCCCCCCTCGGTTGTTAGCCTCAGTTGACCCACCATGGAAACAATGAAAAGAAGTCGATACCTCCTAGCAACAGACACGTACTTCGGGCACGCTTCTCAAAACTCACGTACTTTCGGCAGCTTGTGCAACAAACACGCAGTTTCGCCATTTCTAGTCAAAAAGCACGCAGTTTCCGCATTTTCGTCCTGGCGGGCACGGAAATGCATTTTGGGTATTTTTCATGGTTGGGCTAGTGAGGTACAGTCACTAAGTCACCATTAATAACCTCAAAACGGTTTCAGGAGTGATCTGCATTGAAATATTACAGGAAGTTTGGAGGTTAAAGGTGGGCCTATATTTAACGACAGATCGTTCCTGAAACCGTTTCCAGGTTATCAATGGTGACTTAGTGACTGCACCTCACTAGCACAACCATGAAAGTTACCCAAAATGTATTTCCGTGCCCGCGAGGACGAAAATGCGCAAACTGCGTGCTTTTTGACTAGAAATGGCGAAACTGCGTGTTTGTTGCACAAGCTGCTGAAAGTACGTGAGTTTTGAGAAGCGTCTCCGAAGTACGTGTCTGTTGCTAGGAGGTATCGAAGTATTATTGATAGACTGCAACGGAAAACGCTATTGAATGAGTGGAATACCTCAAGGAAAAACCCGAAGGAAGACAGAAATTTTTTTTTTTTGGCGAATTTCGTTGGTATTATGGAGAATATCTCCACCATAATATGTAGGTGCAGCCTTTCACTGTAAGACATTTACAGTGTGAATTTTGAGAAGAATTTTGATGAATTTTGATGAATTTTAGTGAATTTGAAACGATTGGTGGATTGGCTTCCTCTGCCTGCACGACATGTTCTTTCCGTTCCGCAGACCCGCCCGAGATCACGGTGCGGCCGCGGCCCCAGGTGGTGCGCGCGGGCGGCGTGGCCTTCTTCCTGTGCGCCGCCAAGGGCGACCCGCCCCCGCTGCTGCGCTGGCGGCGGCGCTCTCGGAGCGGCGCGGCGGCGGCGGCCGCCCTGACGGAGCGCGCCAAGGTGCTGCGGCTGCCCGGGCCGCCCGGGCCGCCCGTCGGCGGCAAGGTGGCCTCGGCGGCGGCCGGGGGCGCGCGCCTCCTCCGCATCCAGAACGTGCAGCCCCGGGACGGCGCCATCTTCGTGTGCGTCGCCGAGAACAGCGCCGGGGACGCCGTCAGCGCCGAGGCCCAGCTCACCGTGCTTGACGGTAAGTGCCCTCGAGGCTGCCCCACATCCGGGTTGAGGAACAGGAGGAGGAGGACGCCACTCAGGCCCCGCATGCAATCCACCTTGCATGTTCCCTACCAGAGTCTTCGACGAGGAAAGCTGGCTGGACGGTCGCGGGTTTTGTACGTTTGTGTGTGTGTCTGTGTGTGGCTGTGTGTGTCTGTGTGTGAGCGAGCGAGCGCGTGCGTGTGTGTGTGTGTCCGTGTGTGTGAGTTTACGGCCCTTTTCTCGGCTTGTACCTGATGTGGTGATCCCGCCGGGCCGCTCTGCGCTGCTGGTCATACATCATGCACTTATGTCTGGGATTTCACGAGTGCCCCCCCTCCAGTCCGCCTCGGCGGCTCGGGCACGCGCGTTGCCGTTGCCGTGCATTTCTCGCTGGAGGTCGTCCCAGCCGGCCAGACACGGCTGGCTGACACGCCGGGCACGGCACGGCTCGGCAGCGTCCTGTGGGGAAGCGGGTCCCCAGGCCGCGATTGTGCGCCGGCCGGCAGCAGCGTATTGTGGCGCGGGAGCGGCGGAACGCAGCAGAGCCAGCCGGGCGAGAGAATCCGAGAGTCGTTTCCTTCGCTCCGTCTCTCTCGCACTCGTGAGGTGGCCCGTGTAGGTGCGGCAGAGGCGGATCGGCCAAAACGGCCCTCGGAATCAGCTCCTGCGGCCTGCGGGCGCAGCAAGCGAACCGGGCCGGCGAGCTCGTCGGGGCCGCGCGGCTCCAGAGCGCGCCTCCGCCCTCGCCGCAGAGATATATAGCCCGGCAGGGTGAAAACGGCCCAGGTGAAGCCACGACCTCACTTTTATCTTGAGACGACCTCCCCCCCCCCTGCCCCTCTCCCCTGAGGGACCTCTCCTCCCCTTTCGCTGCCTCATCCCGCGCCCTGCCCTCGGCAGCCCTCCGCGCGGTGACTTGGCGGTGGCGCAAAGTGCTGACTAATTGCAGTGTTAAGGGTGACCGACAGCGCATCAGGTAGTCGGGGGAGGGGGGAGGGTGGGGTGCCACCTGGGGGCCTGCCCTGCGCTGCTGCGCGCCGCGGCGGAGTTCATTACGTCGCGGAAGGATGGCGTCCTGCCTCTGGCAGAAACTAGGGAGGCGGGGCAACACCGCCAATCTACCATCGGCGGCACATACGATGTTGCAACGGCGTGCTGTAAAGTGGTGGATCCAGATGCGGCCTTTGAGGGGGGCTTGGCTCGAGCCTATCATTTAGAAGAATTTCATGGGTGGTCAACTTTACCCACTGGCGGCCCAAATTTCCTGTCTTTACGGTAGTCTTTTTGTGTTTTCTAAAAACTTGAGTGGTGGCCCTTCCGCCGTAGGCTCGAAATGCTTGTCCATGTTCTGAGAGTGCGTTGTGTTGACAGGCAAGGGCCTGCCCGGCTTCCCCGTGGTGTCGCCCGCCATCTCGGACTCGCTGACGTCCCGCGTGGTGGAGGCGGGCCACTCCGTGGTGCTGCCGTGCTCCGCCACCGGCAACCCCTTGCCCACCATCGCCTGGCTCAAGGACGGCGTGCCGCTGCAAGCCCTGCACAAGCTGGGCGGCCGCGTGGCCGTCATCAACGCGCCGGGTGAGTCGCCCTGCCGCCCTGCCTTGCGGGACCGAGAGGCAACTTTGTGTCTAGCGCGGCAAAGCGTGGTTTTTCGTCCGCTTTTCAGGCGGATGATCGAGGTGCCGTGAGAGGGGAAGTCACCCCTTCGCCTCCCCCTTTTTTGTGGGTGGTTCTGCACTGGTGTTCAACGAATGTGACTTCATGAACTCTTTAATGTCATGAAGTTCGACACGTTCTAACGACTATGACGTCACATTCGTTCAATAACAGTCCCTGATGGCTTCGCGCTGACTCCGTTTGTTTGTTGCTGCTGCAGGCCCCTCGGGGTCCCTGAACGTGTCCGCGGCCAAGGAGTCGGACCAGGGCCGCTACGAGTGCGTCGCGGAGAACACTGTGGGGTCGCAGTTCAGCGCGCCCATCCAGCTCTACGTGAAAGGTGGGGAACGACCTGCGTGGGACTCGAACCCGGGACCCGCAGACTGATTCTGTCGCTCCGTGTCTCTCGCACCCATGAGGGGACGGCCCGTGAGTGCGAGAGAGACAGAGCGATGCCGGGCGGCCCGTCGTGACGCCGTCATTGCGTGTGTTTGCAGTGCGCCGCGTGCAACCCTACTTCACGCTGCCGGCGCCGGCCGAGGTCGAAGTGCAGATCGGTGCCCACATCAACCTGACCTGCGCGGCCTCGGGGACCCCCATGCCGCGGCTGCGCTGGCACCTCTCCAAGGACTACGCGATGCTGAACGACCGGCGCATGGACTGGCCGATGGCGGACCAGCCCCAAGAGGACCAGGTGAGACGGCTGCAAGACAGTGCTGCTTCTTTTTGTCGCCTGCTGTGCCTTTTCTGAGACGTCCTTGCCGTCGGTCTGCGCCTGCAGGACTACCAGGACGAGGAGGACAACGAGCTGCTGCTGGTGCCGGAGCACGTGCCGATGAACACCGAGGAGCAGGAGACGTCTACGCACCGCCCGGACAGGGCCGACGGGACCCTGGGCGCCGCGTCGGTCGTGCTCAACAACATCAAGGAGAACCTCAACTACACGTGCGTCGCCACGTCTGCCCTCGGCGTCATCCACAGCACCACCAGGATCAGAGTCCAGAGTGAGTGCTCTCTGCTGCCGGGCCGCCGGCCTTCGCGCTGTCAACCCGGAGAACGCCACGCACAAATTCTCTGCTTTCGGATGTGTGGAGTTTGCAGTTCCCTCCAAGTGCGGAGACTGCAAATTCCGCACCTCCCGATTGGTTTCACAGTGTGTGCCCGGGATGATCCGCTGTGTGCGTCACTTGCGTCTCTGTTGACTCAACTCTCTGCCCACAGCGTTGCCGGGCCCGCCGCTGGCTCTCCGCGCGTATGACGTCACCGCGACGTCGGCGCGCCTGAGCTGGCGCAGCCCCGCCGACGAGCCGCGGGAGTACGCGCTGCAGTTCCGCGTCAAGGGCTCGGCGGCGGCCAGGGGCTTCACGAAGGGCTCCGGCGTGGGCGTGGCCGGCGGCATCTTCCAGGAGGTGAAGGGCGTGAGCTCGCTGCATTACACCCTGCGCGGGCTGACGGCCAACACCAAGTACGAGGTGCGCGTCGTGGCTGTCAACGCCCTGGGCAGGGGCCCGCACTCCGAGCCGCTGGCCTTCACCACGCTGCACGCCGAGGACTCTCCCTTCGACGTCCCTCGTGAGTGCCGCCTGCACTGTCAAACCAACACCTCCATGCCCCACTCTGTGAACGTGTGGAGTTCGCAATCGCCACACCTCAAGTTTGGAGTCACTCGCACTGCACACAGCCTCTGTCTCTTGGCATGGTGCAAACGTGGAGAACTCCGCACTTGCAGTGTGGGAACTGCAAACTCTGCTCTTCCAAGTGCAGAGACTGCGGAACTTTCACGCCTCCGCATACCTAGTGCGACTGCTGCTCTTTCCGATGTGGCCACTCCAGCCTGATGGCGAATGCATTGGATTGGAAGCGTGGATTGGCTTTCGCGCGCTTCTTGCACAATGGATGAAAATAGCCGGCCTGTCAGTCAACTGTCAGTCAACGAAACTGGTAGAAAGGAACCAGAAATACGAGTAGGCGACCCAGTGCAGCCGACATGATTGTAACTGCGCATGCCGTTCTAAGGGGGGAGCAGCACTGTTTTCGTGCACTCTGAAAGCCTTACAAACCTTACTTTGTCTTAACAAAGTATTTTGAGCATAAGCTTACAAAGAAAATACTTCGTGATTTACGAACTACTTCTTTCTATGACAAACTTAATTGGTTTGAACCATGTACGCTAAAAATACGTCGTAGGGTTTTAAGCGTGTGTTTTCGCGGTTTCTTGAACCTCCATGAATCAATTTAGAGTGACGTGGCGCCTTCCCGCAGAAACGGAGGAGGCGCCGCGCGGGCTGCAGGTGCGTCCGCTCAGCTCCACCACGCTGCTGGTGCAGTGGGACGAGCCGCCCTCGCCCAGTGGGCCGGTCAGCGGCTACCGGGTCTACTTCACGACGCACCCGCTGCTGCCGCTGCCGCTCTGGAGCCAGCAGTCGGTGGACGACTCGCGGCTGTCCACCGTCTCGGGCCTCACGCCGCACCAGGTGTACTGGGTGCGCGTGCAGGCCCTCACCGCCGTGGGCGCGGGGCCGCCGTCCGTGCCGGCCCTCGTCAAGACGCAGCAGGGAGGTACGCACGGCACTAAGCCAGTGTAGAGAATGCCTCTGGAGACTGCAAACTCTGCACTTTCAAGTGTCGGTTTCACAGTGCTCTGATCCCCTGCCGTCTTGCAGTGCCGGGGTCGCCGAACAAGTTCCGGCTGGCGAGCGTGTCGTCGTCCTGGGCGCGGCTGGAGTGGTCGCCGCCGTCGCCGCTGGCCGAGGACATCGTGAGCTACGAGTTGTACTGGAACGACACGTACTCCCGGGTAAGCGCTACGCCACTGGTAGTGGCTTCCTCGTGTGAATCCGCGGCGCGGCGGACAAGACAAGTCCACGGCGGCCTGCTCGCGCCGCACGTCACCCTCGCGTCTTTTTCACGTCCTTGCCTCCGCTCCGGTCCTGCAGGAGCGCCACCACTTGAGCCTGTCCCCCGGGAGCCGCGGCGCGCTCCTGGAAACACTATACCCCGGCTCCATGTACGTGGCCTGGGTGGCGGCGCGCTCGCCGCGCGGCGAGGGCGCGCCCACCACCCCGCTGGCCGTGCGGACGCAACCCCTGGGTGAGTGACAACGCGGCAACGCGGCGCGCCAGGAAAACCGAGCGTGGAGAACGCCTCACTTCCTGGTGCGGAGTAACGCTCGGCGATTGGACGTTTGGGGTGGAGTGAGTGGCTCACCGAGCCTCTATCTCCTGGCAAGGTCCAACGCGGAGAACCCCCCCACTTGAAGTGTGCTGTCTGCAAACTCTGCGCCTCCAAGTGCGGAGTCTGCAAACTCCTCACCTCCACGCACTCGTGTGAATTTTGTCAGAATGTCAGAAACTCATTCTGACATTCTGTACAACTCAGGCCAACAATATCAGAAGAATGTCAGATTTCAGAAGTGCGCGGTCAGTTGATCAGGATTTCAAACATGTTTCTGACATTCTGACAAAATTTACACGAGTGCTTGCTCCCACAGTGTACTAACGGACTGGTGTTGCAGTGCTGCCGGCGCCCAAGGACATCAAGACGTGGCCCATCAACACCACGGCCATCCGGCTGGAGTGGAAGCCGCCGACTGCCGGGGCGAACCTGACGAGGGGCTTCGTCGTGCTGCTCGAGTCCAACCAGGTACAGTGTGGCGGCGCGCTGCCCGCGCGGGCCCCGCGCGGGCCCCGCAGGCCGCAGTCTGTCCGCTGGCGGCGAGGCTCGTGTTTCACGCGCCTCACGACGGCCGTGCCTTGCGCAGGAGGACGCCGTGCCGGTGGAGGTGGAGGTGCCGGCGACGCAGACGCAGGCCGAGGTGGGCGCGCTGCAGCCCGACACGGAGTACGCGGTGCGCGTGGCGGCGCTGGTGCGCGACACCCGCGGCACGCTGAGCGCGCCGGACGCGGTCCGCACCCGCGGCGGCGTGCCCGCGCGCGGCCGCATCCACGCCCGCTTCCTGGCGCGCAGCTCCACCGTGCCCACCACCACCGCGCCCTCCGCCGGCAAGCGCAGCCCCGCGCCGCCGCTGGAAGTGACGTGGCTCATGCCACCGCAGTCCGCCACCCCCGTCATCGGCTACCGCCTCCTCTACGGCCCCGTCGGCGACCCCGCCCCCAAGGAGCTCCTGAAGAACGCGGCGGACCAGCGCGCCATCCTGGATGACCTGGGTGAGTGGCGGGACGGACTGGGTCCATATTGACACTTTTGGAGCCAGTGACAATGTCCGTACAATTACCATTCTCGCAGGATCACACTAGTTTGCGCAAATATTTTACCAAGACATGCTTATATTCTCGGTGTCTTGGTGCTTGCAGAGCGCGGCGTGCAGTACGAGTTCCGCATGGCGGGGAGGACGCAGGCGGGCTGGGGGCAGGACGCCAGGTTGACGATGTGGATGCCGGAGGGGCGGCCGTCGGGGCCGCCCACCAACGTGACGGTGTACTGGCAGGCCGCCGGCGTGCTGGCCGTGACCTGGGATCCCCCCGAGACGCTGGAGCGCGGCGGCAACGTGACGGTGTACACGGCCTCCGTCACCAAGGCCGGCGACTACTCCGGCTCCAGCCCCACCGTCATCTTCGCCCGGAACGTGTCTGCCATAAACCCCAAGGCCGTGTTCGCCGGGCTGGAGGACGGCGTCGACGTGGACGTGCAGGTGCAGGCGCACACGTCGCAGGGCGCCGGCCCGGCCTCGCCCAAGCTGACCGTCCGCGTGCCGCCCTCGCCGGCCAGGGCGCCGCTCAAGGTGGGCGCGGCGGCCACGTCGCAGCACAGCATGGAGGTGTGGTGGGAGCCGCTGCCGGTGCGCGGCAAGCTGCTGGGCTACCAGGTGCTGTACACCACCACGGCCGTCGAGGACCTGGACGAGTGGCAGTCGCTGTCTGTCGGGCTCACCGAGTCCGTCGAGCTGGTGGGGCTGGAGCGGCTGGCCGAGTACGCCGTGACCGTGGCGGCCCGGACGCGCGAGGGCCTCGGCCACCTGTCCAGCGCGCTCACGGTGCGCGTGCGGCCTACCGAGGTGCCCGTCGACCTCAGGGCCTCCGACGTGTCCACGCACGGCCTCACCCTCAAATGGGGCCCGGCCATCCAGATCAACCCGCTGCACTACCGGGTACGTCGGTCCTACGAATACACTGACAAACCACTTCCTGGGGCCGAGTGATTCTCCACACTTTGCGAACTTTACTGTCGTCAACACTTCAAGTGCGGACTAGTATCTCACAGAACCCCTACCTCTTTGGCAAACTGAAAAAATCGAGAACTTCCCACTTGTGGTGTAGAGACTGCGAACTCCCAAAAGTGTGGATTTCTCCCCAGTGCAGAGTGGTGGTAACGCGTGGTTCTGCCCGCAGCTGTCGTGGGACGCGGTGAAGCTGTTCGTGGACGCGCAGGGCATCACGCAGACGCAGCTGATGCCGCGCCGCGACCTGCAGCTGGACAAGGCCCAGCGCATGTACCAGCTCACGCAGCTGCAGCCCTTCACCACGTACCGCGTCAACCTGACGGCCGTGCCCGCCGACCGCGCGTACCGCCCGCCCGCCACGCTCATCGTCACCACGCAGATGGCCGCGCCGCAGCCCATGGTGCAGCCCGCGCTCTACGGCGTCGTGTTCGGCAAGGAGATCCAGGTACGCCGCGCGCGCGGTGGTCCCGAAGAGTGGCGCAGAAAGAAAAATCGAGACGCTTTTCGAGCTCCAGAGTCCCTAAACGGGACTCGAACCGAACGTGTGACTCCACCAATGGATTGCTCTCTAATCGAGGGGGTCACACGATCTGTTCGAATCCTTTTTAACGACTCGAGCTCAAAAGGCGTCTAGAGTTTTGGTCACCTGCGCCTCTAAAGAGTGTGTGCACGAAACATCTACAGTTAAACATGAAATTTGCCCGGATTTCAAATTGAGAACTCCACCTGAAGTTGTCTCCCCTCTGCGTCCCGCAGGTGATCCTGCCCCAGGCCAGCGAGCAGTACGGGCCCATCTCGCACTACTACCTGGTGGTGGTGCCTGAGCCGATGCCAGTCGTGGAGGCCCCGGAGCGACCGGACCGTCAGGACGCACCGCCAGTGCCGGTGCCGGCCTACTCGCCGCCCATCCCGGACACGCTGCTCACCTCCCACCTGGAGCGCGCGTCGCTGGAGGAGCGCGAGGCGCCGCTGCGGCCCTACATCGCGGCCAGCTTCCCGCAGCGCAACATCCCCTACACCTTCCACCTGGGCAACAACGAGACCTACGACGGCTTCCGCAACAAGCCGCTGCGCAGCACGGCGCGCTACCGCATCTTCATCCGCGCCGTCGTGGACACGCCGCAGAAGGTAGCGCACCGCATGGTCGCGGACGGGGATCAGACGCACAGCGGCACGCCGGGCCAGAAGACCGAGCTCCAGAGCCGGTAAATGGGACTCAAACCGATCGTGTGACCCCACCCGACCCAACGAGGAATCCATTGGTGGGGTCACACGTTGGGCTCCAGTGTGCTCGAGTTCTGTTTAGCGGTTCTGGAGCTCAAAACGCGTCTAGAGTTTTCACCGCTGGCGCCGGTCTTCTGGCCCTCTGTTTACTGAAGGTTGCTCACCTTTAGGCGGGCTGCTCTGTGGTTTGCCTACGTTCAGTCCCAAGAGAAAAAGGGATGGGGTTCATGACCTGCGTACCCGCCCCTCTGGGTACGCGCCTTTTGTGAAACAGAGGGCACTACGCTCGAGGGCTGCAAGGGAGTCTTACCGTTTGCTTGCCGCCGGCTTGCCCCTTTCCGCAGCACCTGTACACGTCGTCGCCGTACTCCGAGCCGCTGTCCTTGTCCATGCGCGCGGTGCCCCCGGGCGCGGCCCCTCGCCGCCCGGACCCCAGCGTGCCCGTGGAGCGGCAGGGCGGCGTGGCGGTGCGCGGCGGTGCGCGGGCGCGCCTGGGGTCCCCGGGGCTCATGTGGCTGGTGGGGCCGCTGGGCGCCGCGCTGCTGCTCTGCATCCTGATGGTGGCCCTGTACGTGGTGAGGCGGAAGCGACGGCCCGCCAAGGCTCCGGACGCCGAGCCGGACGGCCCGGCCACCAGGCCGCTCATCGCCAACCAGGGCGTCGACGGCCAGGCGTCCGTCTCCCACGCGCACTCGCCGGTGGCCTCCGACCCGGTGCGCGTGCGGCGGCAGAACTGCCAGACCGCCGCCATGCAGGCCCACCCGCCCGTCCCGGTAGCCAGCCTGGCCGAGCACATGCGCGCCCTGCGCGACGCCGGCGGAATCTCGCAGGAGTACGAGGTGGGTAAACCCGCGGTGTGAGGCCACCGAGTTTGACGGTGAGCCTCACAGTGGGCTAGAAGACCAGTGGAGGCGGTCAAAATCCCGGACGCGTTTTGAGTTTCACGGTCGCTAAATGGGACTCGAACCGAACATGTGAACCCACCAAACGGATTGCTATTGGTGGGGTCACACGTTTGTTCGAGTCCTGATTAGCGACTCTGGAGCTCAAAACGCGTTTAGAGTTTTGTCCGCCCAGCCTTCTGGCTCGTCTGGCCCACTGTGCGCCTGGGTGTCGTCCAATAACACCCCTCGCCTGCCGCCACCTGCCGCAGAGCATCGAGCCCGGGCAGACGTTCACGTGGGACCACTCGTCGCTGGAGGTGAACCGCGGCAAGAACCGGTACGCCAACGTGGTGGCGTACGACCACAGCCGCGTGGTGCTGAACGGCGACGAGCCGGGCGCCGACTACATCAACGCCAACTTCTGCGACGGCTACCGGCAGCGCGACGCCTACGTCGCCACGCAGGGCCCCATGCCCAACACGTTCGCCGACTTCTGGCGCATGGTGTGGCAGCTGGGCGCCACGACCATCGCCATGGTGACCCGCTTGGAGGAGCGCACGCGCGTCAAGTGCCACCAGTACTGGCCCGAGCGCGGCTCCGAGCAGTATGGCCAGTGCCAGGTCACGGCGGTGCTGCACCAGGAGCTGGCCCACTACACCCTCAGGACCTTCTCGATCAGGCAGGCAAGTGCTGTGTGGTCTTACTTTCCCCGTCGATTCGCGCCCAGTGCCCCGGTCTCCGAACTCGGTTCACGCTTTTGCCGTGGAAGAGAAACGAGTCCTGTCAGTACCCGTCGCTACGTGGCCCGCCCTCGATTTCCGGCAGCAGTGCAGCCGCTTGTCATGAAGTGACAACAAACTGGTAGAGTTCACTGGACGCCCTGACAGAGAGTGAGAGAGAGAGAGAGAGAGAGAGAGAGAGAGAGGGGGGGGGGGGAGAGAAAGAGGGTGACAGGGAGCAGAGTGTGTGTGTTTGTGTGTGTTAGAGAGAGAGAGAGGTTGATGGGCTGCTCGTTACAGGAGGGCTGCCCGCCGCGGGAGGTGCGTCACCTGCAGTTCACGTCGTGGCCGGACCACGGCGTGCCCCCGTACCCCGGCCCCTTCCTGCTCTTCCTGCGCCGCCTGCGCGGGCTGCGGCTGCAGGGCTCGGCCGGGGTGCTGCCGCCGCTGGTGGTGCACTGCAGCGCGGGGGTGGGCCGCACCGGCTGCCTCATCGTGGTGGACGCCATGCTGGAGCGGATGCTGCACGAGAACACGGTGGACGTGTACGGCCACGTCACCTGCCTGCGCTCGCAGCGGAACTACATGGTGCAGGTGCGCTCTGTTCGCCGGAGTGGGGTAGTAGTGCGTTCTCGAATTTCAACTGGGAAAATTTGCTGTGCGATACCTTCAAAAAAAACCACCAAAACATTTATTTAAATTTGTGCTTAAAAGAAAGTGGCCCTTAGTTACTGAGGACCTTCCTCCGTATGTTTCTTACTCTTCTCAAAATTTTACTCACGCTTTTCTAACTTTTTGTCATCTACAGCATTCATAACATTAATTGTGTTGTTTCTCCTGAAAATTTGTTAAAAAATTGTTGTCCCCTCTTTTCCGTTTCCTGACATGTCATGGCATGTCCAGACCGAGGAGCAGTACTCTTTCATCCACGACGCGCTGCTGGAGGCGGTGCAGTGCGGCCACTCGGAGGTGCTGGCCAGGGACCTGCAGACCAAGCTGGAGGGCCTCGAGACCCCCGTGCACGGCCCGGACGGCACGCTGGTCACGCCCATGGACCTCGAGTTCAAGGTACGCTCACAACACCCGGGACGCACCGACTGCACGCTGGGAGGCCACACTGTAACAACCAAAAGGCGCGGATACAGAAGCACCGGTCTCCTGGCCGCGTCTGGTCTGGTTTGCCGGCCGCGTTCCTGGCAGTGGATGTGACGTCATCGACCCGCCTGGCCGGCCTGGCGCCACAATTAGCTCTGACAGTGTGCACTCCGCAGCGCCTCAACGCCATGCGGCTGCCGGACGCCACTTTCTCGTCGGCCTCGATGGAGGCGAACCGGGGCAAGAACCGCCTCGCGCACGCCGTGCCGTACGACCACGCGCGCGTCATCCTGAGCGGCATGGGCGGCGAGCCCGGCGCCGACTACATCAACGCCTCCTTCCTGGACGGCTACCGCTCCCGCAACGCCTACATCGCGACGCAGGGCCCGCTGCCCAACACCGTGTCCCAGTTCTGGCGCATGGTGTGGCAGCACAACGTGGCCATCATCGTGATGCTCACCAAGCTCAAGGAGCAGGGCCAGGTATGTGTCCCCATACCGCCACACTGTCCAGCCGAAAGTGGGCAACACCACACTGCCCTGTGCGGAGTGATTCTGCATTTGGACGTGTGGAGTTTGCAGCCTGGAGTTGTTCACGTTTGCGCCCTGCCAAGAGACAAGGTCTCTGCTGCTCTACACTGCAAACTCTGCTCTCCCAAGGCGGCTGCAAATTCCACACCTCCCCAAACTTGGTTCCACAGTGCAGTGGCTGGGTTGCCCGCCCACTCATTGCCTGCGCTGCTTTGCAGGACAAGTGCACGCAGTACTGGCCGGCCGAGCGCGCGCTGCGCTACGGCGCCGTGCTGGTGGAGCCCCTGGCGGAGTACAACCTGCCCACGTACACGCTGCGCGAGTTCAAGGTGAGCGACGACGTCGAGTCCCGCACCATCCGCCAGTTCCACCTGAGCGACTGGCCGGGCGACGCCCTCATCGACTTCATCGGCCAGGTGCACAAGACCAAGCAGCAGTTCGGCCAGGACGGCCCCATCACCGTGCACTGCAGGTAGGCGCCGTGGCCGCCAGGGAGGGAAGGGAAGCTCGGCGCAGGCGGCCCAACCATAGCTCCAGAGTCGCTAAGTGGGACTCGAACCGAGTGTGTGACCCCACCAATGGAGTCCTTGCCGGGATTGGTGTGGTCACACGTTCGGTTCGAGTCCCATTTAGCGACTCTCACAACCCGTGCGGCCGCCTCCACCGGTCTTCTGACCCACTGTATGCCCCTTCCCCGCTCATGCTCGCCGTGCGATCGCCGTGTTGCAGTGGCGGCGTGGGCCGCAGCGGCGTGTTCATCGCGCTGGCCTTGCTGCTGGAGCGCATGCAGTACGAGGGCATGGTGGACGTCCTCGGCACCGTGCGCCTGCTGCGCTCGCAGCGCCCCTCCATGGTCAGCACGCTGGTGAGTGAAGCCTACGCAGCACAATCTTTTTTTTTTTCAATGTTGCCTCGTGACTTCCTGTTATACCAAGTATGGAGAACTCCGCCCTTCATGGTGCGGAGCAATTCTCCGCACTTTGGACGTGTGGAGTTTACAGTCTTCACACTTGGAGCGTGGATTAGCGGTAGACTGCAAACTCTACACTGCAAATCCCACACCCGCACATTGAGTGTGGAGCCAGGTTACTCGGTTTCGCAGTGTGCTGTTTGCTCAACGCATCTTTCCATGTTACAGGAGCAATACCACCTGCTGTACCAGTCTTCACTGCAGTACCTGGGCTCCTTCGACCACTACGGGTCGTGAAGGCGAACTCCACTCATTTGAGAAAGGCGGAAAAGAAACTGAAAAAACTTGATTGCCAATGTGGAAATGTTGCGTGCCGAGGGACGCGCGGCGTACGTTTAGTGGTTTAGTAAACCAATTTTGTGATGATCGCTCCTCGGAGTAAACCTAATGGTTGTGAGGACTGACAGCCAGCCTGCCGTGGCGTTGGCTGCTCTGGTGCCCTATGGCGTAGTTTAATACATATTCCCTGGCAGTGTGCGCCAGCCCTAACCCAGCATGATTAAACATATCATAGTTTTAAGTACTTCATCCTCTGCTACGTTTTTTGTCCCAGACCATGTTGGTCTACCGCTGTTTCTTGTTCACATGAATGTGGCCCCCTCCCGAAAAGCTTTCGATTGTGTCGATAGAACTACTTGATGGTTTGAATGTTGTGATTTCTTTTCGTTACGAATTATTGGACAAAGTCTTAAGCGAGTAAGTAGATGTTTGGAAATTCGGTGAAACGTTTTAATTTGGACAACGCATATGTGGCCAGCAATCAATTGCCACTCGCTGTGTACCTGTGTTACGTAGAGTGATTCAAATCCTTTGCTGCCATTTTATTTATTGTTACGAGTTGTGCCTATTTTTGTAAGCCATCAGGCATACAATTGTTTTGTACATAGACTGTTCACAAATGACTGAATAAATTGAATGAATGTTTTACTTTTTAGGTGCGGTACTTGGTGTCTCTTTTTACTGCTTCTCCTTCCCCGACAAGATAAACTCACAATCACGAGTGCCGGGCGACTCCGGCGAACTCAAATAAAAGTTGGGAAAGCTATCCCGGATTGGGGATGCTCCGGATGCGAGACGCCTGGCCAGACGCAGACGCCACGGCACTGCGAGGCTGGGGTATCGACGCGCTGGCAGGCGGCGGGTAGGGCCAGTGGGGCGCGCAGCGCAGGGAGTATCTCCGCAGTGACACCTGTTGACGCCTCCACGCCCCACGACCAGCGCGTGGAGTAGAGACGCTTCCGTCGCGCGCGTGGAGTAGAGTACGACGACACTGCCAGCCACCGGTCTGGCGAGACTCCATACCGCAGGGCTACGCGCGTTGAACGGCAGATCCAGCGAGCCGGCCTAAGGGGGGGGGGAGCACTTTTTGCCCACGTACAGTGGCGCAGCGAACTTATTTGCCTACCTTTCAGGCGGCTATCTACACTGAGATTCCAAACGCTATGAGTATAGCGGTGCAATACAGCTGAGATATCGCACCATACGTGCAATGCGTCAGCCATATTGCATCCCGAAAATGCCCTATGCTAATGCATGGGAATGGGGCACCCAGTGACGCTATACTCATAGCGTTTGGATTCTCAGTGTAGGGGCTAGAGGCCACGTGTGTCTTGCCACACACCCCTACCACCACCACCCCGATCCGTGCCTATTGGAGGAGAGAGAGGGAGAGGGAGAGAGAGAGAGAGAGAGAGAGAGAGAGAGAGAGAGAGGGAGAGAGAGAGAGGGAGAGAGAGAGAGAGAGAGGGAGAGAGAGAGAGAGGTGCTGACATGGCCTGGGGCGCGCTCCGACGCCTTCCGATTTAGAGTGACGAAACAGAAACGACTCGAACCTTTGTCCACACTGCATCGAGCGGCCCACATTCGTCTCCTCGCGGCCCAAAGTACAGTGTGTACGCCACCTTTGCCACCGCCGCGGTGAATACGTGGGGCCGAGAGATAACATTTATACCCTCACTAACTGGGCACGATGGAACGCAGCAATTATGCCGAAGACGGGAATGAAAGAACAACCAACTCAGGGGAGTCCATCAAAACAAAGTTTCGACGCGTACCTTTGGCAGGCCGCCGGCTCGCCGACTCGCCCAACGCAATAAAGAACGAGGGATATTATTTTTGAAACTTTGTTCCGGTGAAATTAAGAAAACTTGGAAAAGTTGGGGTCAGTGGGAGCGCCACCCGGCGGCTGGACGGGGAGGGCCGGCCCCGCGTCGCCCTGCAATATCGGGCGAGTGCGCTTCGCAGCTTCGCAGCCCGGTGCCGCCAGAGCTTCTTTGTGAGGTGCTGTTGGCTCTGGCGTGGCCGTGCCGCGTTGCTGCGGCCCGGTGGGGAATAAATTTATTGGCGAGCGATAGCGAGCCCATGCCGTGTTTGGGGGTACCAAAAAGTGACTGGTCGTGCGTCTGTCTGTCTGTCTGTCTGTCTGTAACTCACTCACGTTTCTCAGCAACTACCGCACAAATAGTTTCAAAATTTCGCACCGGAAGGCTCCTAAATCTCCCCCAGGGGGAGTTTATCTTATATTCACGATTACTATTGTTTGAAATATTCAAAACATCTTTTTGAATTAGGTTCTTAGCGTGGTTAGGTTGGCAGTGGTTGGCAGCTCGTAGAAATTTTTTCATACTTGCGGCCGCGACTCTCAAATACGGGACTGGCAAAACATTGGCAAATAAAACAAACTAAAGAGCAGAAGGGCTTAGAAGTGAGTACGGTCATAGTTTTTCGATATTTAGAATGATTGAAACCCCTCCGGAGTGTCAACTCAGTGAAATACGGAAAATGAAAGTGACAATTATTACGCGTTTCGTCCGTCCGTCCACCCCCCCCCTCCCCCGCTACAGGGGAAATGTTTTAGTCAGTGGAGTGTTTTGATAATTGCAAGAATGATTTGGTCTTTTTAACCTTTGTTAGTGTTTTTCCATTTATATTCTCAGACACTATATTTTTTATTTGTTTCTTTGCTCAATTACAAGTTAGAAAATATTTTAATACATTCTATAAGTACAAACCAGATGCTAATCTTCCCAAAAATAAATAGTCTTTGCTGACCCCTGGCACTGATTCTGGGAAAAGGCTTCATTGCAATGCTGTGAGTTTACTATAGTACAAACCTTAAAAAAAAACCATATGATGAGTGAGTGTAGCGCATTCAAGGTTTGACATTGACATCAGATTCAATGAGACGATTCACTGACTTGGTCATATGATTTCATGAGACGATTCTTTAACTTAATCATACATTGTCTGCGACAACTGGTAATTTGTGTTGGTCAGGGTTTTGAGTTTGTTTTTTTTTTTAATTTACTCAGAATGTTAGGTAAATACTTTTGCTAAACTGTTTCAAAGATTAAATAACACACCATGACTATCATTATCAATAAGATAAACTTGCATTTAGCAATAAGTGGCCTCGACATTGGATTCTATGACACGATTCATTGGATCTGACAGAAGGTCTTCTCCGTAAAGTAGTTGAAATCAGCCTGCCTGTAAATATGTCTCTTTTTAATTAATGCAGATAAATCAATAGAGTTAAATCCACTAGTTTAAACTAAAAGGGAGAAAGGCTATTTAGGTATTACTAATAACATTGCGTATTCATAAGTTCAGTAACAAGGAGATATCGAATGGTAATTGAAGTATTTGTGAATCGTATTAAGCAATTCAATGCTGGCTGTTAAATGTTACTCGACTGAGTAACAGGGTCAGGGTTCGTGGCATGACACTATGAACAGGAAACGCTCTTAAGAAACCTAACAACTGAAGACCCATACTTTCAACTAGAATTACATGATTTCCTCGGTGTTTCATTGCTGTCTGCAGTATTTGGTGTGCTGATCACAAAAATGACTTCCAATTTCATCCCAGACCTTAACTTTTCCAAATATTTACCAATTTTGGACCAAAATTTTTTCATCGAGTTTTACATGGGTTTTCCCGCAGTTTTTGGTGTGCTGATCACGAAAATGACTTCCAATTTCATCTAGACCTTTACTTTTCCAAATATTTTCCAATTTCGGACCAAAATTTTTTCATCGAGTTTTACATAGTTTCCTGCAGTTTTTGGTGTGCTGATCACGAAAATGACTTCCAATTTCATCTCAGACCTTTACTTTTCAAATATTTACCAATTTCCCACCAAAATTTTACATCGAGTTTACATAGTTTCCTGCAGTTTTTGGTGTGCTGATCACGAAAATGCTTCCAAATTTATCTCAGACCCTTTTCTTTTCCAAAAATTTACCAATTTCCCACCAAATTTTTACCGAGTTTTACATAGTTTCCTGCAGTTTTTTGGGTTTTCTGGTCACGAAAATGACTTCCTTTCATCCCGACCTTTTTTTCCCAAAATTTCCAATTTGTCCAAAATTTTAAAATTGGTTTCACATTGACCCTGTATTGGCCTTTCTTTGCATATATTCTTCACCATCTTCTACAAGAATACAGACGCATCGCTCGCCTACTACGCGCCCAAACAAAACGGCGCGTACCCCTAGTTAAAGTGCTGAAAATGAGGTGCTTTCTGGTGTGCCGCCGAAAGGAGGCGGACGGGGTCGGCTCAGCGCACCGCTTGGCCGCCTGGCCTTGCGCCTGGCGCCGGACAGAAGCCAGCGCACCGATCCCCAGAGTCGTTCGTCGCTCAGTCTCTCTCGCACTGGTGGGGCGTCCCGTGCTGGAGCGAGAGACAGACCCTCGGAATCAGACTACAAGGCCCCGGCTGGCGGGCCTACGCGACAATACGCGGCCCCCCTCTGCGTCTACACTGTACGTAGGCCGTAGGCTCCAAACATCCGGCCGCCGCCCCCAGCCATCCCAGCTATGGAGCCCCCGTGCCGACACAGCAGAGGCCCTTGTGCAAATGCACTCACAGTTCCGGGACGAGTTGGGCGGCCGTCTGCCGGCCGGGCAGAGAGGCGTAAGTGGCACGGGCACCGAAACAAGTTACGCTGGTGTCCCCAGCGAGTCCAGAGGACAGCCGGCCGGCCTCGTTTGGCCCGGCAGGCCATGGGCCGGTAGGCCGCCGCCTGGCTGGCCGAAGCACTGAGGCAGCGTGGCCTGGAGGGAGGCGGAGGCTCGCCTCGAACTCGGGCTGAGTGTACTCGGCGAGGAGCTCCCACTAGCGGCGCCGTAGCGCAGCAAAGCGCAGCGCGCGCCCGGCAACTGCGCGCTGTCGCGATTGAGGTCGCCATGATGTGCCAGGCGACCTGCTCCTTGATGACCGGTGATCATCGTTTGTCCAACCTTATTTTGTCCGGCCTGTCCAAATTTCACTTGCTCGTGAATCGGCTGAAAATTTTGTCCGACCTCCGTTTTGTCCGACCCACTTACACCGCCACGCGGTCAGGCTGCAGCTAGAGAGCAATTTGGCGGCGCTCAATTGATCTAAACACCCGCGGCTCACTCACTATGTCAATCAAGACTGGATGCAGGACAATCCAAGGGACAATCCAAAGACATTTTAACACAAAATGTATTCAGAGTAACAGAAGTAAAATGAGCACTGTAAAGAAAATTTCAGCGAAAGAGGGCACCCCGGCGAACCGGCCCTCTTCCCCGCTGGCTTGGTGGACCAGTGGTTCCCCCATCTCATCACAGGAGCAACCTCAGAGTTAAACCGCAGTGGCCCCGTCATTGGTCACGTCATCTGTGATGTGGAGGAGTCCTCTCATAGTAGGCCAGGCTGCCACCTTTCCCAGTAGTCGGGTTTCGATCCCCGGCCCCCTTCCCACTCAGGGGCCATGCTACTGGTACTCAGGAGTCTGCGTCACCCTGCCCAGCAGCGGAACCACTGGGCTATGAGAGGCACACTGCACGCCGCCCGATTTTGTATACTTGAACCGCCTTCTTGCGATGTAAGCTTGGTCAAAAGATTCTTTACGGTGCTGGGTATCGAACCCCGGACCCCGCAGTCGGGACCCGACGCCTCTGCGC